AGCAGTTGGCTATAGCTCAGAGTAGGCAGAAGAGTTATGCTGACAAAAGGAGGAGATCCTTATCTTTTGAGGTAGGGGACCACGTCTTTCTCAAGATTTCTCCACGGAAGGGACTTCTGAGATTTCGGCAGACGGGCAAGTTGTCTCCTAGGTTCAGTAGACCATTTCAGATTTTGGAGCACGTCGGTGAAGTTGCTTATCGTTTGGCGTTGCCATCAGACCTGGATAGGGTTCACGACGTCTTTCATGTATCTATGTTGAGGAAGTATGAGCCGGATCCATCGCATGTTTTATGGTGGACAGATGTTGTTGTTGATGAGGATGTAACCTACGAAGAGGTCCAGTTTAGATTCTTGATTAATGGGAGCAGGTCTTGAGGACCAAGACCATTCCATTGGTTAAGGTCTTGTGGAGACATCACGGCATTGAGGAGGCTACCTGGGAGCTCAAACAGGAGGTTCGCTCTTGGTATCCCAATTTGTTCTCTCTTTCAGGTACTACTCGATTTCGGAAACGAAATCCTTTTAAGGAGGGTAGGTTGTAATGACCCGGTCATTTTCCTTTCTTTCCTTTTTCGGTGATTTTCTTTTTTCGTCTTTTTCCTATTTTGTCTTTTCCTTATTTCATCTTTTTCCCGTTAATCGTTTTTCCTTACATAACCTCACCTTTTGTGCTCGGATTTGATTCCGATTTTGCATGCACCCATGATATTTGATTTCTATGACATTTGTATTTTACTTTTGTAAAAAATACATTTTAGTTACTTACTTTCTCGAAAAGGGTATGGATGCATACTTTATTATAATTATTCTTGATTTTTGAGGTTTTAGTGTAATTATGTAAAATAATTATTTTTCGTCTTATGGACCTTTTACAATTTAATTTGGATGATATTTTGAAAAAAGACTTTTTGCAATTTTTGGAAAATGTGACAAGTGTCACATTCTCATGGTGCCACTTGTTGGCAATGGGGTGGAGTGACTTGGGAGCATAATCTATTAACATTTGGAAGGTGGAGATTCACCCACTTGTTGGCCTAGGATTGGTGCACTTGTTGGTTTAGATGGTTGACAAGTGTAGGCTTAAGATTAAGCCTAGGAATGAGCCATTGATTTGTGACAAGTGTAGGCTCACCATTTAGTCTTGCATTGTGTGTGTGTAAGAGGTAGTGTAAGAACACATAGTGAGTGAAGGATTTCTAGACCTTCCACTCACCATTTTACACTTTATCTTTTTCATTTCATCTGTTCTTCATAACCCTAAACCTAGCCACCATTGGAGAAAAGCTTGGTTAATAGCTTTCTTCTTCATTTTGGCCTCCTTCCACTCATCTTAGACCAAAAACCTTGGGGGACAAAAGTTTCCTTTTGCTCTCCTCTTCATAAACCCTAGAATTTTTTTCCATTTTAAAGCTTGGTTGCTTAGATTATAGAGATTCAATTCTCTATTGAGGTATAAGTGGTAGTATGTTTATATTTTAAGTGTTTTATAATCCTTTGGGGTTTAATATATATTGTGTACATGCTTTTAATATGATAATCTTGCATATTATAAGAAACCCTCACTTTTTGACTTAGGGTTTATTGATTTAAGCATGTATGATATGTATATACCATATGTAGAAGAATGATATGATTTAGTAGTATGTTAAATTCTAGTATTTTCACATATGGTAGTAATATAGAACTCTAGTAGAATTATAAATGTTATATAAAATTGTTTTGGCTTGAATTGTTATATTATGGCGGTGATAATTCTATATTCTTGTTGATGACTTATTGTGATTATTTTAGAAGGTTATTGCTAAAATGTTAAGAATTAATGTATAAAGTTTATTGTTGAGACATGGTTTAAATTGATAAGTTGGTGGTATTGTACTGTGCATAATATCATGATGAGGACTTGTCATTTAGTATACCATTTTAGACTTGGAACTCTAAGATATGGTTTGTGTGGTTTCAAAATACTTGTGTATGGAAGGTGATTTATATGCCTTAATTATTGCATATAAGTTTTGAACTTGATATATTTTGGATTCTCTTAGGACATTGTTACAAGTGATATGGCTAGAGTTTGGCTCTAGTGCAGGAAATATGAGTTCTCCCTAATTAAGATAATGCGCACTAAGGTGGTCTTCCCAGCGAGTTAATGCCCGGAATAACCATTTTGATCTTGGTTTAGTCCGAGACGTGATGTCCAAGTTTTCCACTAATTGATTTCGTATTCAATTCCAAGTTGACGACCAATACTTAATTGTAACTTGTAATTTTTGTTATTGGCAAATTAATGTTGTTAAGTACATTGATGTTGATAAAAAATCATTTAAGTTAGCTTAAAATGATCCCTTAGAACATCTTGGACATAGACGTTAAGTGGAATGATCTTGCAATGATATTGAAACTTTAGGGTATACGCATATACTTCTTCCTACGAGTAATTGGATTACTCACCCTAGTGGTTTGGGTTGTTTTACAGGTAAGGAGACTATGTTCTTGGATGCTCATCATCCTTAGAAGCCTATGAGCAATTTGAAGCATTTTTGTATATTAACATGCAAATGTTTAGCAGGCTTTACTTTTGAAGTCATATTTTGTATACCATGGGTGTATGGTATTTTAGAAACTAATGTAACTTCCTTGATGTGTAAAGATACTTAAGTATTTAGTTTAGACATTATAAGCATGTTTACTTTAGCACTTGTATTCATTTGGTACTAACTTTTGCTACAAAAATGCATTTTAACCAACTTGGAGGTTTGGCATATGAAATTCTTGTAATGGACATGTATAAGGCTATAAGTTGTTGTAATACTTTCATTTATTCAATTTAAGGTTGTTGACATGCTCACATGCTCACATACTCAAATCTCATTAAAAATCAGTTTTAAACTTTTATTTTTGAACCAATTCATGAGGGGATTTGAAGCATAGGTTAAACCTTAACACATTTGGCATATAGCAGGTCTTACAACAACTTTTTGAGGTGTTTCAGTCATCCGAAACTCCATTTCAGTTGACCGATGGCTTTTGGGCAACTCATTGCACAGTAAAAACTCATTTCTAGTAGGCTTTTTCACTATTCAGGACCATTTCGGTCGACTGATGGCCTATTGTGGTTGACCGATGGCCTAATTTGGTCTACCGAAACAACCTCCTCTCAAAAATCATGTTTTCAGCAAAATTATACCCAGTTCGATCGTCTGAAACTCTATTTCGGTCGACCGAAATAGCTTGCATTCACACAGCTTCCAAATTATGTTTCAGCACTGAAGTTCCAACTTCAAAAGGTTATAACTTCTTCGTTTCTATTCCAAATGGGGTGATTCTTGAGCCTAAACTCAAGGATTTTGAGTCAGATATCCAATGGTACCAATGCCATTCTTAGATTCCAATCACAGTGGGAGTTATTCATGTTTTAGTGAGGTAGGGTCAGTTTTCGCTTAAACCGGGAAAGGGCAATTTTGTGAGATTCTTGGCCAATGTTCTTGGAACCTCTTGGAATGTTGTAAAATGATTAGATTAGATTGTACTCACCTTGTTTGACTTGTTTAGAGTCAATTTTCTCCTTTTAATTGTGAATTGGCCATTTTGCCCTTACTTAACGAATTTAATCTGCTTTAACTCTAGTTTCCTCTTTCGCTCTCCTTAAGTTCCGTGACATCATGAAATGTCACATTGGTACCTTAGAGATGATTTATATCTCAAAGGACTATAGTTTTATCTTTTACTTCCGCATTTCGGATCCGATATCAGGTCAACTTTCGGGTCATCACTGACGCACCGGGTTGAAAAACTTGGGCCGTCGTAGGTCACTGGAAAAAATGGTGTGTGGCAGGTGGATGGTGTTGTCAACATTTGGTTCATAAGTTTGGTGGTTCATGAGATTTTTTTAGAAAGAATTAAAACTATTGGTGAAGGGTAATTTGGACTCAAATTATATAGGTGTTTGTTAAATATGTAAATATTTGTGTAAAATTGTCATATTTTACAATATATTTGATCAAAAATATCAATTTTTATAATATATTTTGTTAAGGTGTCATTTCTATCCATTCTTTGTTAAAAATGATCATATTTATAACGTATCTAACAAAAATTGTCCTATTTTAAATTTTTCGAGTTTAAATTCTAAAGTGTACGATGCTATATATATATAAGCATATGATGCTAATTACTACTACTCCTAAATTCATTACCTGGCCGAAGGCCTTGTTCTTTGTGAATCGCTCGTTCTTCTCAAAAACTACGGTTATCACAAAGTGGCTGTGGAAGGGGATTGTATGCCTTTGATGAAATTGCAAGCTTTGGTTGATGGTTTGATGGTGATTTTCAATGATATCATTTCTATATTTAAATATTGTGTGGGTTCTTCCTTTGCTTGGGTTCCTATCGTAAGAATGTTGTCGCTTATGTGTTAAGTAAAAAAACTCTTGTAATCGAATGTAGCCGAATGTAGTGATGTTGAGTGGAGCATATGGCTTCCGTCATTGTTAAATGTTCATTGTTAAATGTTCATTTCCGTGATTGTTCTTTTTCTTTTCCTAATTTGATATATTGTTGTTAAAAAAAAAAAAAAAAAAAATTCCCTGTGGATTGAGAATGACTACGTAGCATAAATATCTTCAATTAAATGGATTGGAGTGACATGTGACGATGTTAGCATAAATACCACCAATGATGACAATTGATCTTTTCGAAGAGTACCTTTTTCCTAATATACGTGGGTCCACGCGGCATTACCCTATCATAAAATAGGATCCAATTTCAAGGAGGCTCCACCTCTAAATTTCCTTGTCTCAAAAATAGCAAAGAAAGAAGAATGAGTGGGACCCACCAAGTGGGACCCCAATGCTTGAAACAGCAAAATCAAAGACAAATTTCACGTGAAGACGCGTCATCCTCGTGCAACACAAAACCGCGTGATACGTCCGCTGCAACTGCTTTTCAAATCATTTCCCCTTTTTAGTAACCGTGCTACGATAGAACCCGCGAAATTCCCGCCGTAAATCATACACCAAGCGAAAGAAAAATCTTTCATATATATATATATGTATGTATGTATGAGCCATATTTGTTGTATTTGGTAAAAAAGAAAAAACAAATAAATGTTGCATTGATGAATGTTTAGGCTGTCAAGGGGGTTAATGATTAGTTTAATTTCTGTATCAAGTCATTCCTCTATTAGCATCCTCTATTGAAGGAGGACCACACATTCCATAACAACCTTTATACATACAAACATATCAGTGTAGGAAAATATCACTTTCCCCTGATTTTTCCAGGAAATTGTAGCTAGCCCATTTTGTTAGAAACACCATTTTCCGGGAAAATTAATGGAGGAGGGGCAGATGTTGATGGAGGGTGAGGTAGGGAGAGAGAGAATGGAGGATTCATCAAAGGAGGGGAGCGATGTGGTTGGGGAGATGATGGAAGTGATTGAGACCGTTGGATCGTTTGTGGGATTTCGGAAGATGCAGAGGAAGGAATCTTTCGGTCTTGTGAGGAGGCTGAAGATGCTGGTGCCTCTTTTGGAAGAGATTAGGGAGCTAAATGGGTCCATTCCCTCCATGGCATTGGTTTTTTTAGCTAATTTGAAGGAAGCACTTGTTTCTGCAAAGAAATTGTTAAAGCATTGTAACAATGGGAGCAAGATTTATCTGGTAAATAATTATCTCTCTCTCTCTATATATATATATAGATGTATGTATGTATGTATGTATGTATTACACACATTAATTAATTGTTATTTACCAATTAATTGTAGGCATATGAAAGTGAGGTGGTTGTGGGTAGATTTCATGCTGTTTATGACAAATTGAATGAGGCTTTGAAGGATATTCCTTATGAAGAGCTTGGGATCTCAGAAGAAGTGAAAGAGCAAGTAAACGCCTCTCAACTGTTTGCTGAATTTACTCTTCCAACACTTGTTCTTTGTGCCTTTGTAAAAGTCCTTTTCTGGATGCTTATTTGTTTATCTGCTAGTGCTCAACCAAGAGTAAACATGAATAAGATTAATTTAAGATAGTAATGAAAGATTAGATAGCTTGTGGTTTAACTGTAGAGCTGGATGATGAAATGTGGGGATTCATGTAGTGGAAACCAAATTACTGGGATGAGGCTTTGTTTGAGTTGAATTAATCCAGCATTCTCATTCGTTGATACAGAGAATGTAAGATTAACAATGTTTCTCTTCAGGAGGCAATCAACTGATAATTGGCTAGTAGTTTGATGATGTCGGCTTAATTGAGTGTGTGTTTGTGTATGTATAGGTAGTTTTAGTATTTTACTGTGATTTCATAATGCTGCCTAGATTCACAAGCCACATTTAAGTTAAACATTTTAGTGTTAACCATAAGTTGTAGTCCTCAAAGGTCCTAGAAAATGTTCTGTTTTTAATGCATAAACTGAAAAGTTTTACATGAACTGGCGGGTGTGTGCATTAGCACATACATGCTTATGTGGGCAGGTTCTATGAACATTATAAGTAGAAACTTAAATTTGATGTATATTATAATTACTTGGTCTGAAATCTGATAAAACATACATATCACTACACTGTGTGGTACCCATTATTCTGCATCAATTTTTACACGGTGCGCAGCCTAAGTTTTTACCGCTACACCAACCAGCAACACTTGGTCTGCAAAACGATGATCAGATTGATTTTAATAAATATACATGATTAATATTTAAGACTTCGACTTAAACTTACAAATAATACTTTAGTGCTTCAATGTGCATGGTTTATGAGATGGTTTCCCAAAGAAATTTATTTGATCACTAATTAGAGTTCCTATTAAGCACATTTCGTTCTAATAAAGAATAGTAAAGGGCTATTCTTCTTTAGAGTCTTTAGACCTTTCTCACTCTATGAGACGTCCCACATCTTCTCAGGAGAAGAAGTTCCTAGCATTTATATGTGTGGACACCCCTTAACCATGTAGATGTGTTTTGAAAACCGTGAGCACTGGGAGTGTGCAAAGCGGACAATATCTACACGAGTTTGGAAGGGATGTGACATTATACTTCTACGGGTTAATGTTAGCACTTTTGCACTTTTTGTTTGCTTATATAGTTACATTATTAGCTATCTTCAGGTTGAGCTAATGCACAAGCAACTTAAAAGAGCAAAGAGAAGGACAGAAACACAGGATATAGAATTGGCAATGGATGTGATGCTTGTGTTCTCTAAAGACAATGACAGCGATTCAGATAATGCTGTACTAGAAAGACTCGGAAAAAAGATGGATCTATGTACTATTGCAGACTTGAAAATAGAAACAGTGGCGGTTAAAAAACTCGCCAAAGGCAAAAGTGGGCAGAATGCAGAAAGCATGCAGAAAATTATACATCTTTTGGGAAAATTCAAACAGATTGCGGGGATGGAGGAAACTAGCGTGCTTGACGATCCCGTGTCATCAACAAGTTCAGAGAAGTGTCCCTCTTTGATTATCCCCCATGAATTCCTCTGTCCAATTACTCTCGAGATAATGACAGATCCTGTTATTGTTGCAACTGGACAGGTATGCAACTTTAATTGTTTTAAAACATATTTCTTCTAAAAATTTGTCTATTTATTTGTTGAGTAATTTGTGCATGCCCTCAATTCTGAAACTCCAAATATTGTGGTTCCATGTATATATATATGGGTCTTGAATTTGTTTTTGACCATCAAGTTTGTTCCTTAATGCAGAAAATCTAATCACTGAACAAAATAAGCACAAAATTTTTTACTTGTAACAACATTTTCATATTGGATTGTGAACTTCTGTTATATATATATATATGCTGAACGAAGGAGCTCAAATGAATTGTTTTTGTTTGTAGACATATGAAAGAGAGAGCATAAAGAAGTGGTTGGATTCGAATCATCAGACCTGCCCAAAGAGTGGACAAACTTTAAATCACTTGTCACTAGCACCAAACTTTGCCCTGCGCAACCTTATTCTGCAATGGTGTGAGAAGAATAATTTCAAGCTGCCGAAAAAGGAAATTGATATAAGCTGCGGCTACTCTGCCAAACTCATAGAGGAAATATCTTCATTGGTCGAAAATCTGTCTTCAGTTCAGCTGGATGTGAAGAGAGAGGCCGCTCTGAGGATCCGTATGCTCTCCAAAGAAAACCCTGATAATAGAATTTTGATTGCCAATTGTGGGGGAATCTGTCCTCTAGTTCAGCTACTGTTTAATCCAGATTCTGAAGTTCAGGAACACACTGTTACAGCTTTACTGAACTTATCAATTAACGAAAAAAACAAAAAAACTATAGCCTTGGAAGGAGCTATTCCAGCTATTCTTGAGGTCTTGCAGAATGGGACAGAGAAGGCTAGAGAGAACTCTGCAGCCGCCTTGTTTAGCCTATCGATGCTCGATGAGAACAAAGTGATGATAGGGTGCTTAAATGGAATTCCTCCATTGGTGGTACTCTTAAAGACTGGGACAGTGAGAGGTAAGAAGGATGCTGCAACTGCACTCTTTAACTTGTGTCTCAACCAAGCCAACAAATCCCGGGCAATTAAGGCAGGTATTATTCCGCCATTGCTTCATTTACTGGAGGATAAGAACTTGGGGATGATTGATGAAGCTCTCTCAATTTTATCAATCCTTGCATCGCATCCTGAAGGGCGGAGTGAAATTGGAAAACTCTCTTTCATTAAAACTCTTGTTGAGATTATAAGAAATGGAACCCCCAAGAACAAGGAATTTGCCACTGCTGTCCTTCTCGAGTTGGGGCTAAACAATTCTTCTATGACTTTGGCTGCACTGCAGTATGGTGTGTATGAACATCTGAGTGAGCTTTCAAGATGTGGAACAAGTAGAGCACAAAGAAAAGCAAATTCCCTTTTGCAACACATGAGTAAGTGTGAACACATCTGAATCCTACAAAAATAATGAGTTCTACTTCTACTTCAAGTGATGTCGACAATAACTTAATATCTGAGCTCAATTTATTTTCTTAATTATAGGTAATTGAAAATGACATAGTTTTGAGTGCTTAGGTACTGATGTTAATATTGATTAAGTTTGTACATTTACATGTTCTGAATATATCACTTTATGGATGCTTAAGTAGTATGTGTGTGTGTGTGTAATTTTGCTCTCTATACTCTTTTTTATCTGCAAGGCAATTATACATCAAACGGACCATGCCATGTAGGGAATTTTTGTGCATATATTTGAGAAGATTGTTGCTAAGTTTTCAGGTGATGTGCATGTACAGATATATATCTTAACAACCATGGATGACTTAAATTGTTCAGTACTGTTCATTATAATGTCATATGGAAAATCATATATTGGCCAATACAGGCAGTGGATTGTACATTGGAGTATGTTCACAGTGATTGATTAAGTCTTCATTCTCTAATTGGTTTGGAAGAAAAGGTTTTTTTTTTTCTTTTTTCTTTTCCTTTTTCAAAAATTAATTGGGAGAAAAGTACTCAGTTTGCATTCTTCCTCTAGACTCATGAGAGCAGTTACACATTTTGGAACAATAAGTTGCTTAATTCATTACAAGATTATTATACAGTGAGATCTGGTGGTCGTCCTGCATACTAAGACTTTTAAAAAGTTGCATATGCACGTCTTTTTAATCTAATGTAGCAATCACTTATAATAATCACAACTTTTGGATTTGGCAAATATTCTTTTGTTTAAGAGGGGCTTTGTGTACCAACAAGCACGGTAACTCATCTACCTTTCAATGTGAAAATTGAGTTCAAATGTGGGTGAAGAATCACCTCCAATTGCACAGTACAACCATTTCCTCCATATTTGTGAATGAACAGTACTTACCATGGTGGGTAAAAAATTGTGTTCAAATGTACTCTTCTTCCCTCCCTCCCTCCCTCATTTTAGCAACCCATTTGAAATAAAATTGAAATCCCATTACCCAACTACCCTTCTTCTCTCCCAAAATATCAATCAACCCAATTTATAATTTGATTTCTTTCCAAATAGATTTTGATTGAAATCCCACCACCCAACTAACCTTCTTCTCCCCCAAAATATCAATTAACCAGTTTAGAATTTGATTTGTTTCCAAATAGATTTTGATTGAAATCCCGCCACCCACCAACTAGCCTTCTTCTCTCCCAAAATATCAATTAACCCAATTTAGAATTTGATTTCTTTCCAAATAGATTTGGATTTCTTTCCAAATAGAAGCAGGAAGCCGGCTTTATTCCCTCCCAAATTTTGAATTCTATGATTTGTTTCCAAATAGAATAAGCGATTCTATTTCCAAATTGAAAGTCGGATCATACTTTTCCAAATTGAAGCAAGAGGCATGATTTCTTTGATTCTGTCATTCATTATGGAAATAAGAGGATTTCCTTAAAAATGAAATCTGAAAATTATAAGTGTATCCCAAATTATCCTCATTTGCTTCAACGTTGGCCTTGCATCACAACATGTATTTGTAAAGTAGTGCATCACAACATTTTCTTAAGTTACATCCCAATATTTTCGTACAAACATCTCAACATTTTTCTACAATACATTCCAACTTTTCCAACCTAACCTCAAACCTTTCATTATTCTTCGTTTTCCCTTCCCTTCTTCATCTTCGTTTATTCAAAATTCAAAACCCTAACCCTCAGACCTTCCTTCTTCCCTTCTTCTTTGCCTCACACCTTCCTTCTTCCATTCTTCTTCTTCACCTCAGACCTTCGATCTTCACTTCTTCTTCTTCGCCTTAAACCGTTGGTACTATTTCCTTCTTCCCTTTTAGAGAGAAAAAGGATGACAGTCGTGCGTAGCTTTTAGAAAGAGAAAAGAAGATAGTCTTGCATAACGTATTTTAGAAATAATATTTAAAGTTTTATATATATGAAATACAATATTTAAAGCTTAGAGAGGGGTAGTAAAAAATTAATTTCCCAATTTTTTTAATTGATGTGACACATCCGCAGTCACTTATTTCAATAGGAGGAAATGGTTGCACTATGCAACTGGAGGTGATCCTAGTCCACGTGGATGTGGGTGTTTTTTTTGCTGTATTTAACCTCCTTACGAAAACAATAATTGGAAAAAACAAAAACTCACTTTTCACTAATACCAATTATACCATATACTATGCTTATTCAAAACTAATACAATAACTGGATAACATTTCAGAATTCGGGAAGTACAACCACATAAATAATTCTCTTCAATAACACCATATGCTATGTTACACAACAACCGAAGAGGAAAACAATTTCAGAATACAAAACCAAATGAAATTTAAAAAATAACAATACAAACAATAAATTAGGTGCTTGAGTGATCTGGTAAGCGTTTCAGGTCCATCTCGACCTGGCGAATCGTCCATTGCATGTTTTCCAATTTCTGCATAAATCAGAATTAAACTAGAGAACTTGATAAAAAAAATTTACTCAAGAAGTGAGTGAGAATAATTTATATGTAAAGTAACATTACCTTCACTATATCATGGTACTGCCTCGCAATTGTATCAAAGTGAGGATCAACACCTTGATACTCACGAAGTCGCGTAACCTGGGAAAATTTGCAACATTGAATTTTTTTTATATAAACACACGGCAAGCAACCAGAAACACATTCATAGAATAAAGGAAATAAAGGCTGTATGGGCATTTCCTTCTCGCTAAGCAACAAGGGGACTAGAGCCCTTGAGAGCCGACCTAAGTACCACTGGGCTTACCAAACCATTACACGTCAAAACAGACACAAGATTAACATGGCTAAGCATCCAAAAAAAAAGGCAACCTAAATTGACTTTTCAACAGATTGTCACCCTTGTTTCCGTACCAAGGAAGTAGACTGATTAACGAAAATCCTTAACCCTTTCAGAATCAAATCCCTTAACCATGCAGATAACAATCGTACTAGAATTCACACAAAGTTAAGAGAAGCCAGTGAAATTCTTATATTACCATTTAAATTTCCCATGTATCCATAAACATTAGAGAATTTATAGTAAACAGTATAGGCAAATACGACAAGCAAACAAACAACAAATAAACAAAAAAGAATATCTAGCAGTGAAACATACTGCTTTATTGTATGCAAGTGAAGCTTCTTCTGTAGCTTCAACCAGATATTTCCTAGAACAAAAGAAAAAACCAATCAAAATCCTCACCATGAACCCAAACTGGAGATATTTGTTATCGTTCTTTACCTTATTTTATGGAGAGCTGGAATTGACTCCTGAGTATATGTCTCAAGCAGGAGAATATGCTCGAGAACCCTAAGACAACAATGAGACATAAATTATTAAAATAATGAGCAAAATTTTTTGCACAAATTGATTAGTTCAACTGTGGGGCTAAATGCTGACAGAATTTATAAGCAATTTTTGGTAGTAAGAGAACATAAATTATTGAGAGCTTGATATACATTATTTGGTCCCCTCCTGATAGCTTAACCCTTAGGCCAGGTGATTATCTAACATACTCACAGACAAGTAACTGTTATGCAATTTGTTTTCTAACATACTATCTGCACAAACCTTTTAAAAAACTATGAAGCTTACTTTGTGGATGGAAAACAAAGAAACTTAGTATCTAGGCTTCAAGCATTAAACAATTTGAAATATCTCAAAATTTTGCACGCTCGAATGCTCTAAAGAGCTTCGGCTAACAAGTTTGATTCAGTAAATGTATCATGGTCCATACTAACAGATATCTAGTCAATTGAATTACAAAACGAAAAGAAAAACCACAAGGAAAAAAAAAAATCATTTCGCATTTCACAAGTACAAGTTATCAAACCACTAGTGCCATCTATCTCTTCTTTATTCTTCTTCTTCTGATAAATACAACACAAAATACCACGTCCTTACGAACCTTAAACCCTACACCTCCAATTTGGGGTGGTACGTGTAAGCTCAAGTTGATGACTAGGATATAGAGGTAAAAATCCATGATATAATAGAGATCACAGGTGGATTGGGATTCTCTTTTAGAGGTCTACTGGATTTGGAGTCTTTGGGGATTCCCTTCCCAGGCCCTCTCTCTAGCATCTTTCCCCATGTAAGGTAGAGGCAAATTTATAGTCCATAGATAAGTATTAGTTGATGCCCAAACTGAAATGAGGGAACAGTCTAAATTAATAATTTTTGTCATTCTCATGGCTTGACCAGAATGCACCGGGTGGGCTGGTGTTGCTAGACTGAGGATGATAAGGAAGTGGTATATATAGGAGCCACCCCACATTGTGCAGATACTGTCCGCTTTGCACACTCTCCGTCTCACGGTTTTCGAAACGCGTCTACACAGGTTGGAGGCGTCCCTCTTACAAGTGCCACCAACCTCTCCCTCCCAGGAGATGCGGGACATAAAATCACCCCTCTTGAGACTCGGCGTCCTCACTAGCCTGACCCTCGTGGGTTTGTGCAAGCTATCCCATTTTCAGTTGGGGATTGGGAGTAGAGGGTGGGTTTGGGTGAGGTGGAGAAGGAGAAGGAGAGGAGGGAGGAGTGCAAGGCAGAAATTTGGGAGATAGCGACTTTGGAGAAGATTGCGTGGAGACAAATATCCTGAGCTTTGTGCATAAAAGAATGTGACCAAAATACAAGGTTCTTTCACATGTTGGCCAATGCTCACCGTAGGGGTAACCATATTGGTCAAATCAGGGTTAAAGGCTCTATGTTGAGGAAGGAGGAGGTGGAAAGAGTTGTGACCTTGTTCTATCAACATCTTTATCCGGAAGCCTCGTCTTGGAGACCTCTCCTGGGAGGCTTGGAGTTTGATATGATCTCCCTGGGAGAATAGGGATTGTTTGGAGAGGCCGTTTGAGGCGGAGGAAGTGATCTTGGCTTTGCAGAGTTGTAGTGGAGACCTCTGTTACAGGGACTCTTCAATAGTAGGTGAAGTACCCGTGTCCGACGCATATTGCTCAGGTATGGGATGTGTCCTAATACTTTTAGTTGGACATGTATCTAAAAACCATGTTCAATAATTCAATTTTATTATATTATTGCTTCAAAATGAGTGAACTACAAATATTACACACCCTATTACCTAAAGACAACTAGGAAAAAAAAAAATTACAAAAAAAACATTAATTTACCTAGAAAAAAAAATTAAAAATATTAAATTGAAAGATTTATCAGTGTCTTTTGGTTTGGAGATTTTCCACATCCGATGCGTGGAAATATATACCCACACCCAACACATGTACTCAAGTCAATGTATCATAGGTGGAGACAAATCCTCGGGGCCAGATGACTTCTCTATGGCCTTCTTTCACCAAAATTGAGAGGTGGTGAAGAGTGAGATTATGGCGGCAATTCATTTCTTCCACTTGCATGGTAGATTTGAGAAGTCCATGAATGCTTCCTTTATAGCACTCATCCTGAAGAAGGGTGAACCCATTGACATTAGGGATTTAAGCCCAAGCTTGGCGGGTGGCATGTACAAGCTTATAGCCAAAATCCTTGCGGTGAGGTTGAAGGAAGTACTTAAAAAGGGTGATCTCAGAGTCTCAGAATGCTTTTGTTGGAGGTCGCCAGTTTCTGGACTGTCTTGGTTGTTAGAAAGTGCAATGACGCCAGACTTAGCACTAGTGAGTCAAGGATGGTGTGTGCGATTGATGTTGAGAAAGCTTACAACCATGTGTGTTGGGCTATGTTACCTGCACTCGCTGATACCAGCAAGAGTGTCCATGTTGCGGGATTCAAGTCGAACACCTCATTTTGTCTATCCGACACGGCTACGGCTGCCATCCACTATGAAGCTCGCTAGTAGTCTCTAGTTCAAAAATAGGGTTTGTGTTTTGAACTTCAAAAAGGTTGAAGGAGACATCGACGAAAGAGAAACTTTCTAGTTAAATGTGCCTTAACTTTTTGTATTTTATTTACATATATATATTATATCATCTACCAGCGAGAGTGTCCATGTTGTGGGATTCAAGTCGAACACCTCATTTTGACTGTCCGACACGGCTACGGCTACCATCCACTGTGAAGCTCGCTAGTAGTCTCTGGTTCAAAAATAGGGTTTGTGTTTTGAACTTCAAAAAGGTTGAAGGACACATCGACGAAGGAGAAACTTTCTAGTTAAATGTGCCTTAACTTTTTGTATTTTACTTACATATATATATTATATCATCCTTGCCAAATGCTCCCTCTATCCCAAAAAGAATTTCTCTTTTAGGGAATTGTGACTCACAGTTCCCCAAAAGAGACATTTACTTTGGGACAGAGGGAGTAGTACTTTGTACTCACTCTTTAGGCTATCAGGCTTATTAATATAATATTTTATCATTATGTGTGGGTTATAGTAGTAACCGACAATGTTATATGTGGGTTACAGTTAAGGGTGGCAATTTTTACAGCCCCGTTAATAACGGATATAGTAACAATTTTTATATCGTTGGGGCAGGCATGGGTACAAAATTTTGACCCGTCGCGGATCATGGGGCGGGGATGGGTTCTAATAAATATCTGCCCTGCCCCGCTAACTATATAATTATATTTTAAAACTATATATATTATAACTTATAACCCTAATTTCCTAAAGCTTGAACTGAAGTATCTGAGTATCCCCATTCCATAATACCATAAGTCAGTGCGGCGCATTAGACCTATCAACGGATTGGATTCGGACCGAATCATGGTCGATCTGATCCGAATCCGATAAGCATAATGAGTGATCCAATCTGATCTAACAATCCGACGGATTCTTACTTAATCAATCCGTATCCGATATTCATTCCATCGGATATCCGATCCGAAAAATACGATCCAAATATAAACTACGCACTTTTGCAATTTGAACAAACACAAATCAACCAAATTGATTCAAATATACATCTCAGCATGGTTTGATCCACTTAATTACGGTAAAATAAAGAGGGTCATAGCTAGCGTTAAAGAAAAATAAACTGAGAAATGGATTTCGTAACAAAGACCCAACATCACCATAAAGAGAGAAAAGACAAACCGGGAGAGAGGCAAGAAGAAAATGAAGAGGGAAGAAAAAAATTGAAATAGTTTTTGTTGTGAAATATAGAAAATTAGGGCTTGCAAATTGTCATGGAGAAAAGAAAAGGAAGAATATAAGAAAAATGAGAGAGTATTAGTAACTAAAAAAGTACCCTGCAACAGATCCAAGGTCCTAGCAGTCCATGCTTTCCCTTCCCCTTCCCCTTCTGATTGATGACTCCCCCTTCGCCTTCGTTTCTCTCCACCCCGCAAGCACAATATAAATTACTTCTAGGGTTTTCATCTCATCTTGTTTTCAATTAGGTGACAAGGAGAGTTGTCCGTATATGGGTGAGAACACTATATTATTGTACACATAGCATTAAGATTAGTTTTGTTCATTACATCTAAACAAATCCAAGGGTGATATATATATATATATATATTGTAACGACCCAAAAAGAATACCGGTCGACAGTACCAAATAAAATAGGGTAAATTACACTTAGACCCCCTGAGGTTAGGTCATTTTACAGCTATATTAACATTTTGGTTTTACATTTCACTTATATTTGAATTAGTGGTTTAACATTTCACTTACACCCCAAATGTCAATTTCTGGTGGGGTTATATTACTTTTGAGGTGTTAAATGACTATGCTACCGTTTGACCTATTTTTTACTATTTTTGTGACCAAACTACCACAACATACACCTTCCTCTTCTTCCTCCACATACTATCATCATCCCCAATTCAACCCTAGACAGAATCACTGGACCACCACCACCACACAAAACCCAACTCCTCAAAATTACAAACATATATATCTATATAGATATATAAAACAGCCAAATATATATATATATATATATACACACAAAATTACACATATATACAATATAGATATATAAACACATACAAACAGCCAAACAAGGGTCGACCAAATCGATGATAGGGTTTGGCCTTGAATATCCATCGTCAACAACCTCATGCGGCACCAGATCGGTAGCGGTAGAGCTTGCCGAAAACATAGAGGGCGGTGAAGAAGCCGATGAAGCAGAGGGCTTGGGTGCCGGTGACGAACCAAGCTCCGTCGAATGGTTCTGGCGGAGGAGCAGGGGCACAGCCGAGCTGATCCTGCAGGGTGGAGAAGGCCGAAGTCGGAGATCTTGAGGTTTCCGGCTTCGTCGAGGCGTTCGCGGCAACAGTACCGGCTAGGCGTCAATCACCGAAGCGAGGCACAGCGCGGCGCCGATCTGCGAATTCATTCTCGCCGTCGCAAATCAGCTCCAAAATCACACACCCAATCCCAATCCCAACTC